AAGCCAGAGGACTGTGCACTTTTCTGTTCCATAAGCCAATACATGTCCTTATTGGTTTAAGTCAGTTTTCATGTGTTTCTGTCACTTGCAGCCAAAAGAATCCTGAATAGCAGAGGAACAGGAGTGAAGGTGCAGAAGCGGAGAAGAAGCAGGTTCCGGAACCTGGTAGACATGGCTTCACCACTTAATAACTGTGACTTTGAGCAAGTCACCTTGCCTCTCGGATCTTCCGTCCTTATGCAAGACAGGAGTCACACCAACTCCTGGGTGTGGTGATTGGTGGAGCGCTGTTCCATGTCGTCAGAGTCACGCGCAGGATATGGGGAGTCACACAGAGGGCCTTGAGCAAGTGACCTCCCTTCTGTTTGCCAGTTTCCTCATCGGTAGGAAGCACATTAAAAATAAGTATCCAGGAGGATCGTGGTGGGAATTAAGTGAGAGAATTGGGGGAAGGCCCCCGCCAAGCTGGTACTGGAAAGAGACTGGGGTCTGTGACAGTCTTTTTAAATCGGCTGCACCTCCAACCCACCCCAGAGGGTAGATGACACGGGGCCTGCAGCTGCAGCGGTCAGCCTGGGCGACTGAAGACCAGCGCAGAAATTCTAGCAAGTGCTAATTGGGTCATGAAGCTGCCCCAGGGACGGGAGGGGATGCCTGATTAATGGCTGCTTGCTCTGCAGGGGGTCACACACCGGGGCTACCTGCCGCCTTCCCTCCTTGCCAGAGCTGGAAACCTCAGCCAGGAAGCCGGCCGTCTTGGGACAGCAAGGGTGAGCCTTGCCGCCATCTGGTCCCCAATTCGACTGCCTAATGTTTGTAACAGACCTGCAAGCTAATTGCATGGTCGGGGAGCAGCCTTCACATCTTTAGCACCTAATTCACTATTGTTCTTTGGGAGCCCCAATCCTGCTGCTGGGGAGGGAGGGTTCTGCCCCATTTATGGGGCTTTCAAGCCTGGGGCCATCCCACCAGCCTGGCCTTGTTAGACTCCAGCTGGGCAGGCAGGCAGGAGGGCATCCCCTCAACGTCCTGCAGACAGCCTGGGGCTGTGCCTTCCCACACCTGTAACTCACCTGGCTGGCACTGGCAGTATACTCCCAAAACACAGCCTCTCCCACTCGTCATGGGAAAGGCCCTCCCCACCCACCCTGGTAGGGCCACTTGCTTCTCTAGCCCTCAGTTTTGGAGCTTTATTCCCCCACTCCACTCCCAGCAAAGGCAGGGATGCAGAAGAACGCTGGGAAGGTGAAAAATGGAAACAGGGAGGTCTGGGTTCAAATCTCAGCTCAATCACTTTCTACCGTGGAACCTGGGCCAATTACATTCTCTAAGGGCCTCAGTTTTCCCATCTCCAAAATTTACATCCTAACATCTATCTTGCCAGGTTCTTGTGTCAATCAAATGAGATCAGAGTAACAACTAAGAGAGCAAGAGCTGGCCAAGCACGGTGGCTCACGCCTGTAATCCCAGCACTTTCGGAGGCCGAGGCGGGCAGATCACGAGGTCAAGAGATGGAGGCCATCTATCATTCCTATGAACTGGTCATCTAATGGGCTCTGTCATTAACTCACTGGGGGGCCTGGAGGAAGTCGCTTCCTCTCTGTGGGTCTCGGCTCCCTCCTCTCTAAAGCAATGAGATGGAGAGAGAAGCCTGAGAGGATAAAAGCCCCTGCCTGGGTCCTCTCTTCTCTTCTGGGGCAGGAATCGTCCCCAGGTGTTTGCTCTGCTCTCTCTGGAGCATTACATTAGCCCCACAAGGTAGAATCGACTGGGATGATGAGAGACGCCACTCACAGAAAAGACGTGCCTTGCCCAAGGTCACACAGCTGGCAAAGTGGCCACATCAAAGGCAAACTGAAGCACTCCAGGTCCCATGACTCTGTGGTCCCCATGACAGAAACATCCTGGGGAGGGTGTGGAGGGTGGGAGAAGGGCTGCCGTCGGCACCTGGGAATGTGGTCTATGCCTGCCTCCACCCTCTGGTGGGTTGGGAAATGATGGATGCCAAGGCAGAATCAGGGGGTCAAGGGAAAAAGACTGGAATCTGGACAGATGCCAAGAGCTCCAAGCATCTGGACTTGGATCAAGTTAGAGCTCTAGAGACAGAAGGGCCTGGGTGTAAACCCCAGCTCCTCTATTTATTAGCTGTGTGACTTCAAGCAAGTGACTCTACCTCTCTGAGCCTGCTCTATAAAGTGGGGTTAAAAATGCCCACCTCAAAGGTTGGTGGGGTGGGCCCAGTAGGATTGTGCTTGGTACACAGTAGATGTTCCAAAAGTCATAGCTGTTATCCCTGGGGTTCCTACCCAGCTGGACTATGGCAACCCTCGCCAGCCTCCTGCCTCAAGCAAGCGTGCCTAAGGAGACAGCATCCGTGGCTGGGAAACGTGCTCCCAGACCACTGTGCTTATCATCAACATACTCATAGCTCAGGAAATGTCCAGAAAGTTCTGTCTAGAGGAAACAAAAGCTGGGCCCACATCTTCCAATGGCAGGGATGCTAAAAGGCAGGACAAGGAAAGAACGCTGGTCCCACTGCCCCCAGGGATGGAGCAAAGGCAAGGTCTTTGCTACAGGAGGTGCGACCAGCCTGCAGACCCAGGACAGAGGCCTGGGCTGTGCTGGGGGCAGGGGTGCATCAAAGCCAGTGGCAGGAGGCAGCGTCGGGTCAGAGTGAGAGCCCAGGCTATGGCGCTGCGCAGCCAGCCGGGCTAGGTGCTGCCCAGCCTCCTCCACACGATAGCCAGAGCAATCCCTTTAGGTGTAAGGCACATCACCTGTGGCTCCTCATCTCCAAGTAAAAGCTCAGGTCGTGATCGTGATCTGCCCCCTCCCCTCAACCCCACCCACTCTACTCCAGCCGTTCTGGCCCCTCTTCATCGGGAGACAGCCCTCCAGGCTGTGGTACTGTCTGTGGAACACGCTTCCCTCGCTTCCCTCCTGCTCACATATCCCCCCTCCAGAAGCCTCCCTGACTACCCCATCTAAAAGAGCCTCCTCTATGCCCTCACCACGTTTTACTTTTTCTTACGATTTGCCACTCCCTGGCGTTATATTTTGTATCTATTTGTTTTATTATTGACCTTCCCTAATAGAATGGAAGCCCCATGAGGACCAGGGAGGGCTCTGTGCAGTTCACTGCTGTATCTCCAGCCCCTGGGACGGTGTCAGGCACAGCGTAAAGTCAATAAATATTTTTTGGATGAATGAGCAGATGACTGCTTGCATTCTGGCTCCACAATTTTCTAGCAAACACCCATCTCTTAGGATTATTGTTTCCATTAAATAAAATGATAGAGGAAGAGTGAACGCAGCTGACATGTAACAGGTGCTCCATCGATGACAACGTGAATCACTGTGATTATCAGCCAGAGTCTCAGGCTGTCGCCTGCTCACTGTGAGGCCTGGGGCAGGCTGATACTCTCTTGGAGTCTCTGTCCAGTGTGGAAGCAGAGGTGCCCACCTCTCATGCAAGGATACCCACCTTCTACACAGAGTTGTCTGATGGATACCCAGGCAGCGCACCTACTGAAGCCCCCAGCAGGGGTTCCGATGATGTTAGAGACTTTCCAAGTGGCAGCCGTCACCATCCCAGAGAGGTTAAGATTTGGACGCAGGCCCACCCGCTTCCACTTTCTCATTCTGTGATCTTGGAGAAGTGGCGTAATGTTACTGAGCCTCAGTTCTCCTCATCTATAAAATGGGGATAATAATGGCATCCTGAGAACACCATGAGATGTGCAGCTAAAGAGCTTCACAAAACTCTACAGAAATGTGCTGTGACGGGCAGGAGGGCGAGCCACAGACATGCGGGACAGGGCCCGGGGTGAAGGGATAAGGCTTCATGACGCAGAGAGCGAGGCAAGACCAAGAGCTATGCTGGGAAGAAGTGAAATGCCAAGCCCGGCGGGGAACCTGCAGAGCAGACACTGCTACCCCTTCCCACTGCCTCTGCCCCCACCTCTCCTCAGGGTCTCATGGGGACCTCTCCCTACCAGCCCTGGAGGGGGAGTTTTCAAGGGAGGCAGGTGACAGCCACAGGACCCCAGCAGCAGAGGTGCCTTCTGCCTCAGGCTATCTCCTGCCCCACCAGGAATATATGGTTTCCCCCACGAAGACACTTAGGTTGGAGGCCATGGAGAGGGGAAAAACAGAAACAGTCCCCCACTCTAAGCCTGACTGCTCACACAGCCCGAATCTCAGGGCAGAGGACTCACTAACCTTCAATCTGCCTCAATCCCAAGACTAACCTGGCCTCTCCCTGACATCCTGGGACAGGCCCTGGGAAATAAGACCTTGAAGGATGGGTTCTTGGAAGGTAACATCACCAGATTCCTCAAACTCCAGCCCCTGGGAGTTTGAGGAGAGACACGCCAGGTCCCAAACTGACCTAGATCCTCCCACCATATTCCCTTGTTCAACCTGTGCCTGGCAAAACACTGATGTGGAAGACACAAGTGATTCAATCAATTAATCCCTAGACTCAAGCTCTGAGAGGCATGATTTCTTGTCTGTTTTATTCTTTGATGAATTCCCAGTACCTAGAAGAGTGCCCGGCACTTACTAAGTGTCTAAGAAATATATATTGAATGGATGAATCCATCAATAAATGAGTGAATGAAGCAATGAATCAATGAATTACTAGAAGTGAAGTTCCCTGAGGGCCGGGATTTTTTTTCTCCATTCTTTGATAAATCCCCAGGGTCTGGAATCGAGCCTTGGCACATGAGAAGTATGAGTAAATGCATATGAACAAATGACTGAAGCGGCCACTGAATCAATGACCCATTAGAATGGAATCTTCCTGAAAGCAAGGATTCCCATCTGTTCTAAGGCTGCCTTCTCAGTGCCTGGTGTAATGTTGAATTCAAAGAATGAATGAATGAATGAATGAATGTGCAAGGCCCTAGCTCTCAGTGCAAAGACCACAGATCGACCAGAAAGCATGAGACAAAGAGGCCACCCTGCCCCCGCCCTGCCACCAGCCACCACTCGCCTCATGGTTTTTTAAATAATTTGTCTGTTGTTTTTAATTGTTGAGGCAGTAATACTTGGTTCATGAAACTGCAATATACAGAGAGGTGAAATAAATAGCTTATATATATATAATATATATAATATAGCTGGTTTTAAAATATTCCCTTATCATTGGTGTACTAGGTCACGTGAGTCACGGAAGGTCGATAGCAGCATCCTCCAGAACTGCGAGCAAGGCAGGGTCACCATGATTGGACGAGGCGTCTGTCGTCGGGAGGTCGAGGCGCGGAGAATTCCCAGGGGCACGCCTTCCCTGCGCGGTGTCTCGGGGCAGCTTGCAGCGGACAATAAATAAATGACTGCAAACCAGAGAGCGATTTTTGTTGGAGTTTGGGGCAGGGATAGAGGATTGGGAAAGTTCGGGGGAGTTTGTTGGTGGGCAGAGTACTACTTTCTCTTTGTTTTTCTTTTTGTTTTTTTTCCTTTCAGAACCTTTGGGAAAAAGGACTTTGGTTTCTCGAAGTGTCGGTTTCCTCATTCAAGTCCTCCTCTGGGGACGAGTTTAGAGTTGTCTGTTCCTAGAGAGAGACAAGCACCTGTGGGTTGACTACAGTCCCTTTGCATGAGTCTTTTGTCATCGGGGGGTTTCAAGTCAACAATAAAATCCTTATCACCCCTCCCCCCAAGAGTTTTGGTTCAGTTTTTGTCTTCTTTTAAACACAATGTACAAAAATAGAGCTTCTTCCTTATTTTTCATGTAAAAATATTCCTCTGATGCAGTTCTCTGGGAGTGTGAGTGTGGCCAGGGCGACCTGAGGGGCCGCAGCGGGGTGGCCTAGGCGGGGTGTGTGGGCCGGATCCGACGGGACCTCTTGGTCACCGTCGTGTACTTGAAGGGCTTCTGAAGCTCCGGCTGCCCCTTGGGGTAGCGCTTCATGAAATGCACGTCCTGCTGGTTCTCCCGGGTCTTGGGACCCTTCCGTGGCCGCCCCTTCTTGGTGAAGCCCACGTACCAGCCGGAGTACTTCGCCGACATCAGGGCCGTGTAGTTGTTCTCCAGAACCTTCTCGATGAACACACACTCCTTGCTGGTGCCATCGGGCTGCAGGGGAGAGAGGGGGAGTGTTCAAGAAAAAAAATGACTCAGTGATGCTCGCTAAAGCACAGTGAGGAAGGTTTTTTTCAGGACCATTGCGATCGTTGTAGGGACAACTGTAAGGAGGTTTTGCAGAGGGGGAGAGAGATTGAGCTCAACTCTGAATACAGCACAGGCAGGTGGGGGTTTATAACCAAGGAGCAGAGTAGAAAATGACTAAGAGAAAACATCGAGGGTGTGGGGGATTCTGGCTAAAGCCACCTAACAGGGTTTTTGCTGAGGACAGGCCAGGGTGACCAGACATCACCTGGGTGATGGAGGAGGATGAAGACCCTGATCATATATCAAGAGTGGGGGGTTCTTGCTAAAATGACTTATCATGGCTCTTGCTAAAACTGGATTTTACAAAGAAGTGCACAGATGGGCCTAAGAGAAGGTTCAAGAGCCTGACTCTAGTTTGCCAAGTGAAGACTCTTTGTTAGGAGGAGAGAAAGGGGACAGTAGGTACAAAGGGCATGGTCAGGAGGCTGTGGCTGGAGCAGCACAGGAAAGACAGCCTTCACCTCCTGGATGTGTGGAGTAAACTTTTGTTACTGACTCCTGCATCTTTCCCCCACCCTCCAGTTAGGTAACAGACTCCCACTGTCATTCAGAAATCTATTCCTGGCTGGGCGCGGTGGCTCACGCCTGTAATCCCAGCACTTTGGGAGGCCGAGGCGGGTGGATCACCTGAGGTCGGGAGTTTGAGACCAGCCTGACCAACATGAAGAAATCCTGTCTCTACTAAAAATACAAAAATTAGCTGGGCGTGGTGGTGCAAGCCTGTAATCCCAGCTACTCGGGAGGCTGAGGTAGGAGAATCTCTTGAACCCGGGAGGCGGAGGTTGCGGTGAGCCGAGATCGCGCCATTGCACTCCAGCCTAGGCAATAAGAGCAAAACTCCATCTCCAAAAAAAAAAAAAAGAAAGAGCAAGTGACCCAAGCCATCCAATCAGAGTGTTCCTTGAGACCTTTTCTAGGCAACCCCAAACATAGGTGGATTTAAACTGGAGGAGTCTGTAAGGCTGAAGCAGAGGCAGCCACTTTATCACCATGGGGGGAGATCCTGTCTGACAGTGAAGCCAGCACAGATAAAGCAAAGCCAAGGAGGGGAGAAGGAGAGAAACTACATACTGGTCACATCATTTGGGCTCTAGGTGGCATCATTTGGGCTCTAGATCCAGTCACATCTGAAGCTCAAGTTACCTCACGGTTATGTGAGCCAATAATGGCTCGTTTCCTTTAAACCAGGTGATGATACTGTGTTCTATCGCGTACAACAGAAATGAGTCCTGATAGATTTGCATAAAACCCGACGTTAAATCAGCAACTCAGCTGTAACTCAGCTCCACTGTGATCTAGTTAAATACAAATTACACGTCATGTGGGATGTGGTGCATCTTAATACTTGGTATGAAGTAAGGAGGGGGCCTCCAACAACAAGAGACTTCACATGGCCTAACTCCAAACTGTGCCATCGGTTGTGAGATCTCAGGCTCCTGGGCCGATGTGTGAAATCCCTTGGGAGCCTGGGTATGCTGGGCAAGGAGCACTAGATCTGGAGTCAGAAAACAAATGACCTCTAACACTTCCCTTGTGTAACCTCAGGCCAGTAAGTCCCACTCTGTAAACCTCAAATTCCTCACCTACCTAATGGGAACAATGACTTCTGCATCATAGAGACACTGTAGGAGTGATGCTTATAAATGAATCTGACACACAGTACTAGATTATTCCTGAAGGGCAGCTGTTCCTGACAGGGCGTTCTTGGATCTGATCTGGACAGGGGGTGGTAGGGAGGCAGGGTTTTAGTCTCCTCTCTGAGACAGCCGAATTGTTCGATGGGGAAGAGTGGGAAACACACAAAGTTGGAAGGCCTGAATTAGCAGCACTCGAGTTTCCAACTAACATCTCCAAATTTAGGCCGGGCCCACTCCTCGTTACGGACGGATGCCCAGCCAAGCTGGAAGCCCAGCGGTCTGGCTGTGTGTGGAGACTGAGGTGCAAGTTCCAGCCTTTTGTTTGAAGTGGAAAACAGGCTGGAGCTTCCAGGAACGTTCACCTTTGAGCAGAGGGCAAGCTTGGGCCCTCCAGACAAAGTGCTGAACTTTGCAGAAAGGGACAGGCAGGGTAAAAAAACACTCTCTGGAGGATGAGATCTTTCGAGGAGGCTGCAGAACAGGCAGGGGCAAGCCTGGGACACAAACGTGGGACCCAGAGGACAGTATGGGTGGTGTGAGCAGCAAATGTGAGGAAAGCCAGGGTAAGCGTGCAAGGCAGGTGGAGAGGAGTAGTTCCTGGGCTCTGGGTACCCCATGGAAAATTCTGGATGCTGCCTGTCCAACCTGAATCCAGGTTCTTTGCCTGGTCTCAACCAAAGAGTAGGAACAAACAGACCAAAGGCTACACCATGATGTTTCCCCATCCTAGAATACCTGCCACTGCCTGGAAAATGGCTTTCATCCCTCCAGGCTCAGCTCAAAAACTGCCTCCTCTGGGAAGCCTTCCAGGACTGCCCTTTATCTCCCTGGGCAATTCCTCTTCCTCATTCAAGACTCCATTCAAGTGTCAAGTCTTACTGGGCTCACGTACTCCATCTTCTGAACCCTATTCCTTCTCCCCACACCCCAACAGAGAAATACCATATCTGCCCGCCTCCGCATTAGCCCAAGTGCCTGCTGAGGTCAGGGCTGCTTCTCAGTTCCCTTGTTGCTGAGCACAGGCCTTAGCTCAAGACAGAGGTGCCCCGAGCATTTGGGGTTGAACGCATTTTCATGAGGATGGAAACCGTGGGATGATACATGAAAGGGGTTTCCTCCTGAAGAAGATAGACTCTCCCTCCTGGATCTGTTATAAATGTCCCAGAGACAATCATAAGCTATGAGAGGTCCCTCCTGGGACACACTGATTAGGGAGACAAAGCAAGCTGAGCCCTAGAAATTGTCTAACCCACTTGGTCTCCCTCCTCATTCATTAACCATTTATTGATTGCCAACTACAGGCCAAACATTGCTACTTCCATTACTGCATTTCATCCTCTTCTTCGACTCTGCTTGGTAGAAGAAAGCAGAGCTCAGAAGCAAATTGGTTTGCCCAAGGTCATGGAGCTTGTAAGTGGCAGAGGTGGGATTTGAACTTGCCTTAGCTACTGCAGCTCACTTCTCCTCTGCCCAGTTCCGGAGAGGTCTGCAAGGGGAAAGGGTGGGGAGGAGCAGGTGCTGCCCATCAAAACATCTCACCTCCCCCAGGCCTACATAGCCACCATTGGCACAAAGCGAGGTTTTAGATGTACAAGGAGCTACCCAGTGCCAGGCACACGGGCTCAGTGCATGCCTGGGTTCACTTAAAAGGGTTGAATGGCTTTGGCTGAAATTCACAAATCTTGGGAACCAGCCTGTGGCTATGATGATCACAAGTTCCCTCCATGACCTCAGGCAGAAATGGATAAGCACCTAACAGCACGCTATACCTGGGCTTGACACTTGCCTCTGCTCCTGGCTACCTCTATGACCCTGCTCACCACAGCAGATTCCAAAAACACCTACGCTTGGGCCCAGCCCCCAGAAACTCTGACACAATTAGTTCAGGCGAGGCAGAAGTATCAGTGTGTAGAGAGTAAGTGAATATTCCATCCCAGAACCCTGATGATGTAGCAGAACTTGATCTCTTTCCTACTGCCACCTCCCGCCTCTCGCTTCCCAAACTGGAGCCCTAGTCCTTCGATTTGATCTGAAGATGGAATCCTGATGACCTCCTCTGGCCCCTAGATCCAATCTTACCTGAAACTAGAACTACCCCCTGGACTGCTGTTTGTTGTTGTTGTTGTTGTTGTTGTTGTTGTTTGCTATATAAGCCCCATATTCCCTTTTTGCTTAAGGCATTTTAGATTAAGTTTCAGCCATTTGCAGCCAAAGTCATCTTAACGAAGGTGTGCTGGTGGGCCGAGCACTCCCCTGACCTGAAAAGGTCTGTGACTCTATGTTGCCCCAAAAAGGACTCATCAGTGATTGCAACAGGTGGTGGCAGATGAGAAAAATACAATCTGGGTTGCATCTCCAGAGATGGGAAAAAAAAATGCCTAGCACATCATGCTAGACACTCAACCACTGTTTACAAAATGAAAGGAAGTGCCACCTCCTGGGCCAGGTGACATGGGTTCCAGAGGGGTAGCAAGGAGAAGGGGGGCCGCCTGAGCATGCAGGGGCTGGGACAGAGCTGGCATCTGATTAGTACAATGCAGCAGAAAGAGTAACTCCAGCAAGGGCCTGCAACCTCTGGAAAGCTCTGTCAAAGGCTTGATGCAGGGACCCTTGCTGTGGCCAGAGATGTGCAGGGTTGGCACACAGATGGCCCAAGGAAGCTGCTCCACTGAGCCACTCCAAAGGAGTCAGCACTGGAGCTGAGACCAGGCATTCCCACAGGTGAAGAAGTGACCTGGTGACCCGGCTCCAAAGGGGAAAGGGACTAACACTTAGCAAGTGCCTCCTCGCCTACTAAGTATGTGGATTATCATTCCCATTTTACAGATGAGGATGCTGAGGCTCAGCAAGGCCAGGGGGCTTACACTCCCTTGGGTTGATGTGGATAATTCAGGCTGTAGCTTAAGAGTCAATCCACAGACAGCAGGAAACATGTTTCTAATTCTTTGGTGCCACCAGAGCCCTTTGGCCAGGTACACAGATCTCAAATGAATGGATGCAGAATCGCCCTCAGGGAGCTCCCAGTGTGACAGAGGATGCAGGCAGGAAGACAAACACTGATAACCCAGGTCAGCAGACAGGCAGCATGGGGCTGCACGAGGGCCTGTGGGGCTCCGGGGTGGGTGGGTTGACCGAGGGGTCCGGGAATGACCAGCCAGGACTCAGGGCAAGTGGACAGAGGGAAGGGCAGGCCCGCAGAGGGCCCAAAGACCCCGTGCATGGAACAGTGGTGCTCAGTGCCACGCACCTGGAGCATAAGGAATCCATGTGCCCAGGGAGGCTCCCTGGGGCCTTCGTGTCCCATAGCAAGGTGGGAGGACCCATGGATGGGTTTGGAGCTGGGTGGGGGTGGAGGGCAGGCCATGTGCTGCCCTCCAATGCCATCTGTGCTGTAGAAATCCGAAAGTGGACAGCAGGGAAAGGCCTGGAGGTGCAGAAGCCACACACCAGGTGGCTGGGGCAACGATTTCCGGGATGGTAAGAGGCCAGAACAGAGGCCGTGGCAGGGGTTAGGACAGGAGGGGACTCCCAGGACCTGAGACCTGACTGGGCAGGGAGGCTGTGGCGAGGACCGCAGCCCAGGAGCCAGATTCCCACCTCGGGGGCCAGAGAGTGAGGGGGCGCTGGGCGGGGCAGAGGTCAAGCCTGGACAGGTGGATTTGGGGGCGTCCTCGAGTCCCCCGGGTGGGCCCAGAAGACAGGAGGCTGGCAAGGGATGGGGGCGGGCGTGGAGGCCGGGGCAGGAGCAGGGGAGGCGCCGGGGGCCGGGGCCGGGCCTCCCTCCACTGCGCCAGGGCGCGCCGCGCCAGCTGAACCGTCACCAATATTAATGACGGGAGAGAGGGCGAGGGGGCAGGAAATCGGAGCCGGCTCCTGTGGAAGCGGTGACTCAGCGGCTAGCCCGCGGGCGGGAGGCGGCCGGCGGCGGGGTGGGGGGGCGGCCCGAGGGGACGGGGCTGCTCTTTTGACCCCCGCGCGGCCCTCCTGGGGTCAGGATGCCGGGAACCGCGCGCAGACGGCGAGGGCGGGCCGCGGCGTGGGCACGGGCACTGGCTGGTGCCGCTGGCCCCTCCTGGGGGAGAAAGAAAAACGAGCCGAAAACTCAAAGCAGGTTGGGCCTGGGAGGCGGCCCAGGCGGGCAGGAGAACAAAGCGCCTGACGCGGGGCTGGGCCGCGCCGCCACAGGAAACGACCGGCCAGGCCAGGGGGACCGGCCAGGCCAGGGGGACCCGGCGCCCGCGCCCCAGTCCGCGGCCCCGGCCCCGACCCCCCTCGCCGGCCGGCCGGCCTTGCAACGGCGGAAAGTGAATCACTAATTAAAACCACTCCTCGGCATCCCGGAGCCGCGCTCTGCGGATTACTATTATTTTGCTGTTTGAGAAGCCTCAGTTGGTGTGGGCAGTGCGGCTGGAATCTTTTCCTTCCAAACCAGGCTTTGAATCCCGCCGAGCTCTAGTGTGGGACCTGGGACAAGTGCCCGGGTGTGGCCGAGCCTCGGCTTCCTCATCTGTGGAATGGGGATGGTAGCGGTGGCAGCCTCCTGGGATTCACTGGGAGCGTTTCAGTTCAGTGCCAGGCAGAAAGTCGGTGCTCAATTAGCGGAGGCTATTATGACTGTAATTATTAACAAAATAATGCAACAATGCCCTAACTGGGATTCCTGGCCTGTTACATCCTCCCCAGCCTCTTGGGTATGAGGGAGGGGGGAGGGATAAGACTTGGAGAATTCAAAAAATCAAAAACATAGCTTCAGCAAGACTGAAGTCATCTCCCCCATCCCCAACAAGATGTAATGAACCGCAAATAATCAGCCAGGGCATTGCCCCCAAGCACAAGCCCATCCCCCTTGGAATCCAGGCCTACTCTCCACCCCACTCCACCTATCCAGGCAGAACCCCCTCAGTCCTGGTTACACAAGCTGGATATGGGAGTCAGTCCCTGCAGAGAGAAGAGGACAGAAAACCTGACCCTACCATAGAGCTCCTGTGGATAACACCTTCCATTCGAACACCCAGAGGAAGCCAGTTCGTGACTTCTGCAAACAAGCGCATCCAGGAAATGAACAGGGGTGCTGAGAAGCAGCATCATTGGAGACTCAGATCCCCACACACGTGGGTCTCCCCAACCTGAGGGTCCCCCCGACCTGCACCCTCCCCTGCCTCCGCCCTAATTTGTTACATGCAGCTCTCTTGCCAGTTTCAAAGTAATAAAATCTTCCTGAAATGCTAGAACCATGAGGCCCAGCGCTGACAAGGCGGCCAGGTTCCAGAGGCCACTGCTGCAGGACGGCGCTGTAAGCCCCTGGCGATTGTTAAAACGATCGCTGCAGTCACAGCCCTTGGCCTGCTGGTTCCTTGCTCCCAGAGTCAGGGACAGGTAGCCGGGGTGCCCCAGAGCCCCTCAAGGATCCTCCCACTACCAAGCAAGCCAGAGCTCCACACCCAGCAGGAGAGACCAGGGCCCTGTGTGCACCGTAAGTCATAGCCATGGATACCTCAGCCTGGTGAGCTCAAGTGCCCAGGCAGAGAAGTGGGGGGTGGGGTGGGGTGAAAGAAAGAGATTACAGTCTCTCTCTCTCTCTCTCTCACACACACACACACACACACACACACACACACACACACACACGGCCTGTTTTCCATTTGGGGCTGACAGTGCCATGGACACATTGTTCCAGCTCCCAGAGCTGCCAGAGGGGAAGCCCAAGTTCCCAGGAATCCCAAACCATCACTCACCTTCCCCACCAGCTTGCCTTTGCGGTTCATGCACAGGTAGAATTCCGTCTCCTTGCCCTTGATCCGGACTTGACTACCGAAGGTGTCTGTCTCCACTAGGAGCTGGGCTTCGAAAGGCAGAAGGAGAACAAGACACATTTTATTACCAGGGGCAATGGCGTGGTCTAAAGGCTCAGTGACACGGTCCCTGATCCTATCTTTGGTCCCTCACTCCCCCAAAATCAGGCATGGGGAGGCCTAACAAGTCCCACAGGACAGATGCCTAAATAACCACAGAGAAGTCAGAGAAGTAGCAGTCCCTGCCCCTCAGGCAGGGAGATGGATGCTGCCGATCACCTGTTCCCTTCCCTCCAGCCTCTCTTGGCTCCACTTGGGATCCAGATGGCTCCAGCCAGAAGGGAGTTCTGCCCCTTGTGGCTAAACACCAGTGTGCCCTTCTCCCCATCGTCACCCACCTTCCCTAGCCCCTCAACTCTACTGCAGCAAACAGGACAAAGAGCCGTGCAAAAAACCCATTTCCCAAAGCAGGACAGACAGCCATACAAAAAGGCCATTATCCCAAGCAGGACAGGTGGCAGTGCAAATAACTCCATCCCCCAAACCCAAAGCAAGACAGACAATCGTAAAAATAACCCCATTCCCCAAATCAGGACAGATGCCATACAAATAACCACAGAGAAGTAGCTAAGGGGACCAAGGGGACAGATAGACACAGATGCAGGCACATGCACGCACACCTCCCTGCCTTTCAGGACATCAATCTATTTCCTCCAAAAGTTAGGTCTATGGCCCCTTCCTGCAGAGCAAACATCTGGAGCCCCTGCTAGTGCCCCCTGGCACCTTTACCCTGGCTATTCATAGCAGGAAGGGCACAGGGAGTGAGGTGTGAGCTCCCTGAGAAAGGCTATGCAGGATATTCCACTGCCCTCCATGGAGGCCACCAAAGCTGAAGGGTAATTAACTCCCAGGAGCCCAGAAATTCCAATCAGGACCCAATTCCCCCTGCGATCCCCCCAGGGTGGGAGACCCCATGCTACACCATCCATGCTCCACAGAGCCTCCCTCAGGATGAGGGGTCCAGAGCTGATCCCCCAAAGCCCTGCCTGAACAAGGACATCAGGCAGGCAAAGAGTGACTGTCCCTTGATTAGGTGTGCTGTATCCAAATCGAATTTTCCTCTCCCTCTGCCAGCCCACATTTTTCTCCCCAGTAGGCTGCTATGTGACTTTGGGTAGGCCACGCGCCCTCTCTTAGCTCTCTCTCCTCTCTGATCTTAAACCCCTGTGCCTGACTCCCCAGTACCACCTGCTTTCTTTGCCTGTGATCGCCCCCCTCCCAATTCATGCACTCTTTCTCCTGACCCCTTGCTTCCTAGCCCCTGCCCCTCCCTCACCCACAAAAGTTTAATTTCAGTGACAAGGGACTTGCTTCTCCATAACAAAAATCATAGCCCCAAATTCCTGAGTACAGTATCCTTGGAGCCACAAAGAGTATACCTCAGTGCCCCTAAAATACACTAGGTATGATTTCAATAAAAAAAATTACAAATATAGACCCTGGTGCCCTGCTGTGAAAATTGAAACCATCTGGAACTTGAGATTTCCAATAATTAATCTAGCCCTCCTTTGACACCACTACTAATTAAAATCCGATACCCACCTTTCCAAGAGGGAAAAGAAGAAGAATTTACATAAAATTTAAAGATCTAACAAGAATTTAGTAACTCTAGAAACAAGGGGAGGCACATTCTTCCCTCCACCTCCCCCTAGCCCTAGTCAACACTGAGTCAGGGATATTTACCAACGCTGAGATGGCGGTGGGTACAAGCCCCTGATCCTCCCTGTTCCCCTTAAGTCAAACTCCCTGTCATTTTGTCTGTGAGCTCCCTCCCCAGGGCCAAACATCACTGCAGCTCTGAAACTTGCTTTCTCCATCTCTTCGCAAAGCTCAGGTCCCACAGCAGGTGAGGAGTTATGGGGGCATCAGGACAATTTCAGGCGCTTCTGATGAGGGGGAAAGGTGAGAGCTTTAGGGTGCACAAATCTGGATATGAATCCATGGCCCCAACCGTATGACCCTGGGCCTCAGTTTCTTCTCCTGTAAAATGGGGGTATAATCTTCAATAGTTATTGTGAGGATTATACAAAATGATGCTGTGAAGAGCTTAGCACTCTGTTCTCAGAGGTCAGGGAGAGAAAACTCAATAAATGTTAATTTTCCTACAAACTGCAAAACCAAACTGTTTTCCCAAAAGAAAAGAAAAACGAAAATATAGTGGAAGGAAATCGGAGGTGTCTGCAAGAGTGGAGGAGCAGCAGAGCTTCCCTCCCCAGGTCTTGAGCTATGACCTGACCTTCCCAGCATCCTTCAGGGCTGCAGGCATCCCACACTGTAAAATGCATCAGAAAATGCCTGGGGCTGGGGCTCACCGGGTCTAGTTTCCTTCTGGCATTGCCATCCTAGGCTGTGTGACCTTGAGCAAGTCATACCCCACTCTGAGCCTCAGTTTCCCTACCTGTGCAAGGGGGAGGGGCTCGACCCTATTCTCCTTCTCCTTGGGATTAGGAAGTGGGGTCTAGCAGAGGGGCAGGGATGGGAGATGCAGGAAGTAGGTAAAGCCACTGAGCTGGGGCCCAGACAACCCCAAGTAGGCCCAATGGGGAGACTTCCTGTCCGCCCTTCCCAGCACATGCCTGGGCCTCTGTCCTCGCAACAGTTCCTGCTCTGCTCCCCTTAGAGCGCACTGAACCATCCATCCCCAGGAGACTGGGTGTCTCTGTCCCCATTCTACAGTGTAGGAAACTTAGATTCAGAGCATCAGCCCGGTAACAGGGGCTGACCTCAGGACTGCCTGCCTCTTTCTACTGGGGCCTGGGCTCCAGGGGAGAGGCCCCCAGCTCTGGAGGGACAGGCCTCCCAGCACAACCCCCACCCCTCACCAGCCAGCGCCACCAAAGGAAACAAGCTCTGGCCTTGGCCTTGGCCTGAGCTGTCCAAAGGGCCTGGGGCAGAGGTTGCACCTCCACCCCACCACGAGCCTCACCACCCCACCCCAGCATGGGGAGGGTCTGCGCCTGGCCGTCACACCAGGGGAGCCAGAAGTCTGTTCTCTCCCCGACCGCAGCATGCGATGGAGTGACCTAGACTCCACTCAGCACATGACATCATGAGGAGGGAGCTGGGCCAGAATTATGTAAAGTCTTTGGGGAGTAATAGCAGCAGCAGTTCTCAGAGAGAGAGAGAGAAGGAGAGAGGAAACGAGACAGAGAGAGAGACAGGAGAAGGAGAAGAGAGAGACACCACCCAGGCCAGGTCCTCGGCATCACGCACCCACTCCCATGACCCAAGCCCCCAGGATGCTGCTCTCAAGAGCTGAAAACCTCATCCGGGCTCAGGCACAGCTCCGTTCGTGGGGCCTGCACCAGGCCAGGCAGAGGAGCTGATGACATGATCTCACCCTGCTCATCAGACTTCCTCACGGCCCAGGCCAGGCCACTGTCCCCTCCAGCCTACACAATTCAACAGCCCCTCCCCTTGCCATTCTCACCCCCATCCACCTCTCCTCCACACCACAGCCAGGGGAATCCTTTCAAAATACAAATTTGCCAGGCGCGGTGGCTCATGCCTGTAATCCTAGCACTTTGGGAGGCCGAGGCGGGTGGATCACCTGAGGTCAGAAGTTCGAACCCAGCCTGGCCAACATGATGAAACCCCATCTCTACTTAAAAAAAAAAAAAATACAAAAATTAGCCAGGCATGGTGGTGCACACCTGTAGTCCCAGCTACTTGGGAGGCTGAGGCAGGAGAATCACTTGAACCCAGGAGGCAGAGGTTGCAGTGAGCAGAGATCATGCCATTGCACTCCAGCCTGGGCGACAGAGTGAGACTCCACCTCAAAAAATAAAATAAAAAATATATCAATTTAATTTTGTCCCTTTTCTGCTAAAGACCTCCTAGGGACCCCCAAGCCACATAGAAGAACATGTAAACTCTTCACTGGGACCCACAAAGGGCACACAGCCTGGCCCCTGTGGGCCAGCCCCGCCTCCCTGCCTTGCTGCTCCCCTCTAGCACACCAAGCATGCTCCTGCCACAGGGCCCCTGCACATGCCGTTCCTCTGCCTGGAGGCTGCTTTGCCCAGAGCTTCCAGAGTGGCTCCTCATCTCCTAGGTTGTGGCACAAATATTGCCCCTCAGAGAAGCCTTCCCAGACCATGATGTCTAATGCTGGCACCACCCTCCCCAGCCCAGCCCTACCCCATTCCCCTGCTCCATTTTCCTGAGAGCTCTTCTCCGAAACTCTTATTTTTATTGTCGGTCTCCACCCAGCAGAAAGTAAGCTCCACGAGGACAAGAACCTGTCTGTCTTATCACCACTCTGACTTCCAGTGCCTATCCCACGCCTGGCTCAGAGTGACCGACCGGCAAGCCAGTTTTAATAAGCTCATCAACAGCCTTGTGGTGTGGAGATGACTAACACCATTCACTGGCTAATGAAAACGAAATTCAGGGAGGTGAAGTGGCTTGCCTGACTCACATGGCTGGGAAGAGCAGGGTAAGGTCTGAGTCCAGTGTCTGATTTCACAGTCAATGCGCTTCACCACTGTGCACCTTCCTGGTGTGACTCTCGGTGCCACTTGCAGGAACCATGGGCTCCCACCCACCCATCCCCAGCCTCAGTGACACAGCAGAAAATCTTTTCCCTCTCCGGGCCAGATCTAGGTAACCTCTGAGGCCTCTTTCAGTTCTGCCCCACTGGAAAGTATCAGTAACTGACATTTCTTTAGAGTTTATGATGTGCTGGGCATTGTCCTAACTACCTTACATGCATTATCTCATTTAATTCTTACCACCATCCTAGGACGTTTGAACTATTGTTATTATCCCCAATTTACAGGTGAGAAAACCAAGTCCCACAGTCACACAGTGATAGAGCTGAGATCCAAGCCCAGGCAGTCCGACCCAGAAGTCTCGGGCTTTGCCTGTCTACCCCAGCCCTCACTTCTCAGAGGCCCCAGCCCCTTTCCTGAGGAGCGAGTGAGTGAACAGTGAAGGAGGCAGGAGGATCTTCTCTTTGGCCCCACTTTCTTTGGGCAGCAGTTAGTGG